TGTTTTTTATAGACACTTATATCATCTGTGAATGATGGCAGTATTTTTTATTTTTTCTAAACCTGTATATATGTTCCACTTTTTTTTTTGTCTTAATAGATTATCTGGGATTTCCAGTATGTTGTAAATAGTGTGTGTTATTTCCAGTCTTAGGAAGAAGCATCCAGTTTCTCGTCAATAAGTATAATGTGGGTGTTATACAAGTTCTTTATCAATTCAAGGAAAATTTTCTTTTGTAGCTTACATTTTTACTCATAAATGGGTGTTGGATTTTGTGAAATGTTTTTTCTATGTATGTTGATGTGAGCATACAACTTCTTCCTTTGTTGATGTAATATGTTAATTGATTTTGAAATGTTGAACTAGCCTTGGATACCTGGAATAAATGCATTTTATTGTGCTGTATAATTATTTTTGTATGTTATTGAATCTGATTTGCTAATATTTTGATAGTTTTGCATCTTTATTCATTAGAGACATTGGGCTGGAATGTTTCTTTTTGTAATGCATTTATCTCGTTTGAATATTAGAATAATGATAGTCTCATAGCAAAAGGAAATATTTACACTGATATTACTTTAAAGGAGGCCTCCTAGAGAATTTTTAATACTTTCCTTCAATGTTTTGCTGAAATCACTAGTGAGACCGTCTGTGCCCAATGCGTCCTTTTTGGGGAGGGTATTAATTATTGATTCAAACTCAGTTATTTGCCTTATCAGATTTCTTTCTCGGGTATTGTATTTTATCTTTCAAGGAGTTCTATTCACCTGTTATATTAATTTTGTAATAACAAATAACATTATATTATTTTCTTTTTAGTAAGTGAACAAGTGATGACCTATTTTCATTTCTAGTATTAATGATTTGTAAACAGTCCCCCCCCATACATTTGTTTGTCAGTTTTATTGGTCTTTCAGGTCTATTCTATATTCTACTTACCTCCTGATTCCAATTATATTCCTTTTTACTGTTTTTTTTCCTGCTTCATTGATGTTAGAATTGCTCTTCTTTCTTTCTTAAGAGTGGAAGTTTAAGTGATTTATTTTAAATATATTTGGTTATATAATGTATATTCAGTGTTGTAAGTGTCTTAGCATTGCTTTCACGATATCCCATAGATTTTGGTAAGTTTTGTTTTCATTTTCATTTAGTTGAAAGTATTTTAAAAACTTATCTTGAGATTTCCTTGACCAGTATATTATTTGGAAGTGAATTATTTATTCCAGTTACTTTAAGATTTGCTCTCTACCTTTCTGTGAATGATTCCCAGTTTAATTCCATTGTGGTCTAAGCATATTTTGCATAATCTTTTATCTTTTACATTACTTGCCTGTGTTTTATGTTCTGTCTTTGTAAACCTTTTTGTGTGAACTTGAGAAGAATGAGAATTCTGCTGTTGTTGGGTTAAGTATTCTATAGATAACTAGTTTATTGATAACGTGCGTTTCTTTTTTTAAATTTTATTTTGAAAGTGGTAAAATACAACAGAATAAAGCCAACTAAGATCGTACAGTGAAATTGGTACAGAACTTCACAGCAGGTTCCTGGGATAACAGTAATGGGTATCACAGTATGTTTTGTTACCTTTATAATAGTTGTTCTTTCAATCATGTATATTAAAATGAGATGAAATGCAGAACATTATAGAACTTATCAAAACAGAATATTGAATAGAGCAGTACCATTAATCAGAATAGAGCAAAACAGTAATAAAAATATTTGCCTTCAAAGAGATGGTAGAAGGAAGTCCCCCTTATTTGCTATGGTCAACTTCTCAGGAGACGCTCAGATTTTGGTTCCCATTTGCTAAGGCGGGGGGGGGGGGGACACAGGGTGGAGGAGACAGGAGAAGGGTGTAGGGAAAGTGGGATGTTTGACTCTAGGCCCTGTATCAGTAGGTTCACTATTGCTTAGCAGGGAGGCAGGCTGGTTGTTTGGTTTCACAGTGTCCTAAGTTCCAACATGGCGCGGATCTCAGGAGCTGCTGCTGGTTCTCCCCCTGGAAGGGCCGCAGTCAGCCAGACCACCACTGCTTACCAGGGAGGGGAGGTGCTTGCTTGGCTTCCCAGTGTCCCAAGTTCCAACATGGCACGGATCTCAGGAGCTGTTGCTAGTTCTTTCCCTGGAAGGGCTGCAAATCTGCCATACCGCCACCGCTTATCAGGGAGAGGTTTGTGCTGTTTTTCATTTCAGTGGTATTCTGAGCTTCTGCATGTGAATCTATCAAATATTCAGGGAGGGAGGTTCATTTCTTCTATTATAATAATGCTTCTGGCAGTTCTGTCATCCCCTCCCCCAAGTATTTTGACACTTTTTTGTTTCATGCAGACACATTAAGGATTGCTACATCTTTTCAGAGTGCTGACTTTTTTTTAAATTAATGCCCTTTTATTTCTGATGATTTTCTCTGTTCTTAAATCTGCCTGACATAGCTATTTCAACTTTTTATTTAAAGTATGCTGTATCTTTGTCCATTTCTTTATAGTCATTTGTGTCTTTATATTTATGGTGGATTTCTTACAGACTACATATTTGAACTGTATTTTTTTTATCTACTCTGAACCAATTCTTTAATTGGCTGCTTTACATTATTCTCATAGCTATAGCTTGGTATTTAACTGCTTTGAAACTCATTAAAGTTGGTACTCAACCCATTTTGATGGGAAAATTTTGTCTCAGTATTTGTCATTTTTTTGACACTCAATACCCATAAGAAAGCATTGGTGTCCATTGCTGCAGTTTCCAGCCAAAACATGCCTCCCGCGACTAATTAATGAAGAATACTTTGTTATTACTGCAAAATGATTATTGATCCAGTTAGATTGATATGTCTATATTTTAACTTTTCTACACTTTTTTTGCTTTCTCTTGATTTGAAATGAAATTTTTTTTTTTTTTTTGGTCTTTTTCCTTGTTATCGGTACCGGGGATCAAACTCATGACTGCCTGCTTGCAAGGCAGGCGCTTATGCCACTGAGCTAAATCTCCAGCCCTGAAATGAAATTTTAATGTGACTGTGTTTTTTGTCTCAGTCTATCAGTTAGATTTCTTTAAACTTATTTTTGATGGTTGTCCTAGAGCTCGTAATAAACATTTTTGATTAAATCTATCTTTTAAAATAATAGAATGTTGCTGGCACTTTATATCAGTGCTCTTTTCTTTCTCCCTTATCTTGGGTCTGGTATAATAGAATATTATAGATTGAGTAATTTATAATGATCAGAAATATATTGGCACACAGCTTTGGAATCTGGAAAGTCGCACTGGGGAGTCGGCGTCTTCCTGCTTTGTTATCTGTTGTGGTTTGTTAAAAGGCCTCCTCCCCCAAAGTCTCATGCAGTCATGGAGGCCACTGAACCTAGCATTTGTGATTGGTTTGTTGTTCAGCGCTGGGATTGGTGGTGTGAGTGCTGCACCCACCCAAGGGGTGGGAAACTGGCATACAGTATAAGGGAGGTAAGGAGATGTGCTTTTCTATTTTTTGCCCTTTTTACTCTTGTTACTTGTGGCCACCATGAACGGCTGCCCCTCAGCCACGCCAGCCTGCCTTGGAGCCAGCTGCGGGAGGACTGAAACCTCCAAAAACTGTAAGCTAAATAAACCTTTCCTCCCTTCATTTTGGGCATCAGGTATTTTGTTTCAACAAGGAAAGAAAAATAACCGAGACAGCATCCCATGGCAGAGAAGGGAAAAGGGAACAAGAAAGAAAAAAAGGGGAAGGACACAAAGTAAGACCTAACTCTTTTATAAGGACCTTTGTTACTCCTGGTTTATAAACCCATCCCCACAGTCTGTTCAGCTTTATTTGCAGGACTTACTTCCATTATGCCATTCTTATCTTCATGGTTAGTTAAGCGTTTTTAGTTCATGAAAGTAAATTTTATGCTGAAGCTTTCAAGTCATTTTTAATATGTATAGTTTGTTCTTTAGTAGATTTTTCAGGAAGGCTCAAAGAACATGTTTTTATAAAGTTTTGGGCCTAAAAATTTTTTTGTGCTTGAATATATTAAATTTTTCTGTTTTATTGTATCTGAGATATGAAGTCTTTTGAGAAATCTTTTTACATAATTTTCTTTTGCTTATTAGTAGCTCAGTATTTTTACCTGAATGCGCAAGAAACTTATGAAAATGCCAAGCTGATAGATTGTAGAAGATCACCTTCTGAGTTCAGTTTCCCTAGTGAACTGTGATCTTTGGTTCAGATTTTAATTTAGAAAAATTTACTTGTTGCTTGAAATATTTGCTTCCAAATACATGTTTTCACATAAACTTATTTTTGCTTGCTTTCTTTTGTATCTATTTCATTGTTGTTCACTTTTTAATGTGTTTTTACATTATTTGGCTTTTGGGGGGAAGAGCTCTTTTTTGGCTCTTTTATGAGGAGAGTCTTTGTGTTTAGTCTTAAAATATTTTGTGAGTGTGTGTGTGTTTTACCAATTTTTCCTATCATCTGGTGATACTGTTTCTCTCTTTTTGTGGCTGTACTGAGGATTGAATGAACTTCAGTCTTTATACTTAACTATATCCTTAACCCTTTTTTCCTTTCCTTTCTTTTTTTAAAATCTGTGTTGCTATATTTACATGGTTTTCTTCCTTATAATTTAGTGCATAATTTAAAAGTAGGGTTATTATTCAATCTTTTACCCCCTACTACAGTAGCCATACAGTATCATGAGAACTAATCTGGGAGCTGTTCACAAATACACAGTCTAAGAAAAGTTTTCATTGTAAAAAGAAAAAGATACATCGTTGAAGAACGGAGTAGTACAGCTTGCAGTTGCAAGAGGTTTGACCAGTGATGTAAAAGATTGACCTGGGATTATGAAGGAAGCAAACAGCCATTGGAAATTTCTGAAAGTATGACTGGTAATAGTAGTAGTAACTGAATTAGATTACAGGTAGACCAAGGACCAAGGATAAGGAGAGCAGGAATAAAGTTCTGTAGGCGATGCAGTCAAAGATTTACAAGTGTGAAAGAGCTAGTTCCAGTATTTTTTCTTTTATGTGGAACAGTTGATCTTGAGTCTGCAAGGAGCAAGCTGACCCTAGATGTCTCCAAATCTCATTTCTTTACCTCCAGTTCTTATAGGTACAAAGACGAGAAAAAGACACACCTTTGTAGGAGGGTTATTTTCTTATTTGAGATAAAGGTCTCACTAAATTACTGTGTCACCTAGCTAGACTGAGCTTGATTTATTTTGCCCCTGCCTCAGCCTCCCAGAGTTCTGGTTAAATTATAGATACATAGCACTATACCTGGCTTTTTCATGGTATTTTTGAGCTGTTATAATTTTGATATATTGCTGTTAATGAACTGTTTTCTTAATTTCTTTTATGTAATTTCGAAGTATGAATTAAGAGTTTTAATCGTTAGCTACATTTCTAGTGTAGTGTGTTTTTATTTTGTTAGAATATTATTTTTCCTATAGATGTTTTATTTAGGCTTTTGTTTTAATTTCTAGTATTCAAGCAAGTTAGTTTTCTGGTAGTTTCAGGGGAAGAATTTCTGTAGGAAGAAGCTTTGTAGTACATGTCCATCTCATTTGTGAAATATTTTTAAAATTTGGACCTTGGAGAAAGAAAAGGTTTTTGCCTTTTTATGTTTTCTAGGTATTTTGCTTTTAGAAGAGGTTCTTTGAAAAATAGTTTGCTGTTGTGATACTTTTTGAAGTCTGTCCTATGCTCCCCTAAAAACATGTACCTTATCTTTCCTTAGGTTGTTTTGTATTTCCTACAATTTTTCTTTTTGCTGAATTTTTGTTTTTCTGGCAGTAAGAGAATATTAATAAGGTAGTTCCAAAATCCTCTTAAGAGTCTTGAATGTTCCCTGGCTGCCTTCTTTGCATTATATACATTTTGGAGCCTGTAAAAGGACATTATCAGACTTTATTTAGTCTCAAATTCCCTTGTTCAGGTTATTTTCTGTTGTCAGAATTTGAATTTGTTGGTTCATTTGTGGAGAATAGACTTTTCTTTCATTTTTGTGACTGTCTCCTTTTAATTAATATAAGTAACATTTTTTCCCCCAGAGAGTGTGTCTTTAAATTTTAGGACTTATTTCAGCACACTGTTTATTTTTTTTATAGCACTTGTGATAGGATATATTTTATAGGCAGCTCTACTTATTTTGTACTTCTAATTTGAATGTTAGCATCACAAATAGGGACCTTGTCTGACTGTATACCTCTGTAATTCCAGTACTCTTGAGAGGCAAAGGCAGGAGAATTTCAAGTCTGAGCCAGGGAGATTTAGCAATTTAATGAGATCCTCAGAAGGGGGAGGAGGTGCTGGGAATGAAACTCAGTATCTTGGGTACCCTAATGCAGGGTGGGTGGAAAGAGAAAGATTGTGAAGTGTTAAGTAAATTTAGGGCTGGGGATATAGCTCAGTGGCAGAAGTGCCTGCCTGGCAAGTGCAGGTCCTCAGTTCGATCCCTGGTACCAAAGAAAAAAAAGAAAGAAAAGAAAAGAAAATTTAAACCTCAACAGTGTGTACATTATCTCATTCTTTGTTATTTACTATTTTTATCTTCAGATTCTAATTTGTTTTTAATTGACCGTGATTATATGTATTTATGGGATACAGTATGAAATTTCAGTACATATATATAGTGTATAATATCAGAGCAATTGGCTAATTTATTACCTCAGACATGTATCGTTTGTGTTGGGAGCATTCTAAATCTTTTGTACTAGCTATTTTGAAGCATTCAATTAATTGATGTGAACTGTAGTTTCCATATTGTGCTATAGAACATTAAAAGTTATTCCTCCTATCCAACTTCACTCCTATACCCATTAACTGTCTTTTCTCCACTCCTCTTATCACCTGTACTTGCCAGATCTTGGGCTCTGGTAACCACTGATCTATTTTCTACTTCTTTGAGATCTACTTTTTAAGCTTCCTATGTGTTACACTAAATAATATACAGGAGGATGATTTTATATTACACCTTAAATTAAGGTAACCATAGACTCATAGAATATCTTCACGAATGGTGTTTCCTAACTACCCTGGTTAGAGCTGGAAGAAATCTGAGATTAAAGAATTTAGCCTTTTCCTTTACAATGTAACTAAAAGAATTAAAACTTTAAGAGATTATGTGATCGATTACCTAACCAATTAGTGGCCAAGATCCAAGTTTTTACTCTTTTTAGTTGATTTCATTTAAATCTGTTTTATTACATCATTCAACAAAAGGTAACAGGTTTTATGAGTGTATTTTGAAATTATTAAAGGAAAAATATTCTCAGGCTTAATCCTTCTACATTTTTTATCAGAGATCGAACTCATGACCTTCTGCTTGCCAGCCAGTGGTTTGTATTACTGAGCTAAATTCCCAGCACTTCTACACTGTTTCTGATACTCTGCTTGACTGACTTCTTTGTATCAGAATTAGAAGTGTCTTATGAATATCTGCAATTCTCAATTTAAAAGTGATTGGATTTAGGATAAGTATCTTGAGAAGCCTTTAGCAGAAACAAGGTAAAAGGTTCTTTTTTTTCTGTTTATGTTCATTCTAACTATTTTTCATTTTTTTTAAAATTTTATTTAAGGAGAAAAAGAAAAACAGCAGAGAAAGGGTACAAGTTATACAGATTTGCAGAAAAAAATAAACAGTAGGAAATCACTAGTTAATGGATTACATATTGTCATCTTAGAAATAATTGTTCAAGTTACAAAATTAAAGCTTATAAAGTGGATATTCCAACAGTGAGACTGCAAACAGTTCTGTTCAATGATCCAGAAAAACTCAGTGATATCATTATCTATCTTATACACTTAAATATACATGCAGTTATATCGTTTAGAGCACTTTCTTTTCCTCTCTTTTGTACAATGACAATTACACATTTTGGGTTTTGTTGCTCTCACAGTTCTTACTACTTTTTTGGAAGGGAGTAGAACCAAATGTGACATAACAGAACAGAGTCAATGAAATCAAAAAGGTGGACATAATAGATAATGTAAAAGCATAATACAAGGTGACCAGCAATGGTTACCATAATGCCTCCCGCTATCTCTAATAGAATTGCTTATATCATCAGTTATAATAAAATTGAACAAAATAGTAAAGAACAAAACCGACAAAACCAAAACATTGGAGACATTATAGGTCTTCAAAAGTAGATAATAGTCAACCAGAATGGGGGTCATAATGAATCTCACTATCTTCACAGCTGTTGCCTAAACTTTCGAACCTGGTACTATCAAGCAAAACAGAATAGGGGGACATCAGTCAAAAACAATATGGTGAGAGTAATACCGGGCTTTAAGACAAGATAATGGGAAGTCAAAGTTGGTTACTATAATATATCCTGCTATTTTTTATTTATTTTTCTCTTAATTAAAAGGATAAAGATAAAAAAGTAAATAATGAAGTGGAGATTGAGATAAAAGAGGGCATAACAGCAAAACAGCGCAGATCAAAACTTAACCATTTAAGCAGAATAGTGTTTCACCACAAGATAATCCTGACATAAAAGTAGTTACCATATTGTCTCTTTCCTTGAAATCTTTGAGTATAACTTCGTATGCTGTAGCATCAAATATATCAAAACAATGTAGAACCATTTAAGAGAATGACAGCATTACAGGGTATTTAGAATCAACTAACAGAAAATGAACAATGGTTTCTGTATAATCTCCTTGTCTTTAAAAGTTTTTGCTTATACTATCATACATAGTAAAATCTAATAAGATACAACCTGTTTAGACCAATGGAGACAGAAGAACAAAAGCTTGATGAGACTTCAAAACAAGATGATACCAAATCAGTATTACCTATTAAGACGTCATTTTCTCCAAAATAGCTGTTCCTATCATCCAGTCTTCTCTGCCTCATTTCTGTTGAGCTCTTTTTCTGTCATTAGTTGTCAGTTTGTCTTCTTCATTTTGTTTTCTGCTCCATTCATTGTGGCCTCTCTGCCACTATTTCTGGATTCTTCATATTTTACTTTTTTAGAATATCTTGCTGTATTCTCTGTAGAGTTGAATTGGTGGTTGCATATTCCCCTAGTTCCTCTTTATCCTGGAAGCACCTTGTTTTTCCATCAATTTCCAGGGATAGTTGTGCAGGATATATCAATCTTGGCTGGAGATTATTATCTTTCAAATATCCCCCCACGCTAGATGGTTTGTGCAGAGAAATCTGCTGTAATTCTGATGGGTGTTCCCTTGTAAGTGATCTGTTTCTTGTCTCTGACGGCTTTTAATATTCTGTTCTTGTATTGAATTTCTGGAATTTTAATTATTATATGCCTGGGTGTTGCTCTGTTTGGGTTGTAGGTGGCTGGGGTCCTGTATGCTTCATACAACTGAGTATCTTTACCTTTTGCTAAATTAGGAAAATTCTCCTGGATTATTTCTGTGAGTAGCTTTTGTAGTTCATTTGTTTGTTTCCCTACTTCTTCTTTTATGTTCTTAATTCTTAAGTTATGGATCCTCTTATCATCTTCTAGTCTTTGTATTATTGCTGTTTGTTTCTTTGTTACTTTTAAGAAGTTTTTCATTTCATTCTCCCATATTACAAATCTGCCCTCCAGTTCAGATACTCTGTCCTTAGTTTCTTTCAGGCTGTTATGCCAGTTTTCGATAGAGTTTTTAGTTTCCTGGTAGTCTCTTTGAACCTGCTTCACGTATTCTATGCTTTCTCTATTTTCTCCATCAAACAATTCTCCCCTCTTTTTCTGTTCTTCCATTCCACCATCTGTTTTTTCTTGGGTAGTGCTTAGCATTTCTCTAACTATTCTGCTTATGTCTAGCTTCAGGTCATTAATAACTTCATTCCTGAACTCATCTATGAGGCTCTGGAGATGATGCTTTATGTCTATTGGTGCGTTGTCCGCTATTGCCTGTTTCTCAGGATTGGGGGCCGAAGGGCCTTTCTTGTTGCTCCCTCTTCCCATATTCTTTGTTCCTTATATATGTAAGCGTATATAGGAGGCCCAGCTTCCTTCCCTGTCAGCCACAGTCTGATTGAATTGCGCCGGGCTAGGTGTTCACGCCCACCGCAGCACACCAGGAAGTTGCAGACCAGGCAGCCTATGTGGGCCCGCCCCTCCAGGTCACCCTCAGGCGCTGGGATCTGGGTTGTGCTAGCCTACTGGGTCTCAGCCAGCAGCCTCACGTAGGCTAGGCACTTCTCACCAATCCCGCTTGAGAGGGGGATACGTGGTTGAAGTCACTACAGCGCCCTGTTCCCGCAAGTCTGCCCGTTCACAGAATGTCCTCTGTTGGAGTCTCCTAAACTGTGCAAGAGTCTCAGTTTCTCTCACTCACCTCACTGCAAGTCAATGCACAGCTCCCTGCCCGTCCTGCTTTCAACTCCGTTCACCGATTCCTGTTCTCTGAGCTTCCGCGAGTCTCTCTCCCTGCCGAGCCAATGTAGACACAGCCGCCGTGTGGCGGGAAACCCAAATCGCGGCTTCCAATGCCGCGGGCTCCAGCTTCCACACTGAGGCTTTTCTGTTCCTGTTATAGCACCAGGATTGCATTCCAAGTTGGTTTCTCTCAGCCCAGTTGGTTCTTGGGTCAGCAGGGCATATCTCCACTTGCTTATGATTCCTTACTCCGCACCATTCCTGAATTCTAAGCTGGGTCTTTCAAAGAGCCTCTGTAGCTGCTGCTATCTGTCCGCCATGTTCTCCCGGAAGTCCATTCTAACTATTTTTCAAAGCAGTAATTTGAAAAGTTATTTGAGCATAGGATTTGAATATAAATTTAATAAAGTTTTGATTTTTTTCACTTGAATTAAACCCAGCATGTCCAATAAATTACTGTCTAGTGATGAATTCTAACACTTTGCATTTGACATTTAAATTGGTGTGTGTGTGTATGTGTATATATATATATATATATATACTTTTAAAAATATGCAAAACTAGAGATTTAACTTGGAAAAAGTTAACATTGTATTCTAATTTTTAATTACCCATGTGCTTTGTTTTAGAGTTTTACAGTCCTAACAGAGGAATTTAGTTAGAACTTTGCCTGGGGTATCTAAGAAACTTAAAATGTCATTTTTTTTTTTAACCTTTAGTTTTTATCCAGTGTTGGGAGAAATGAAAATGTGCATTTGAATGTAAATTAACTTCATAAATATAAGAAGCCATTTTAGTCATCAGCCCATATCCCTTTTCAGTTCTTGACCAATTTTTAATTACTAGTTTTTATTTTGCAGTTTTAAATATAGGTGAAAGATAATCTTGGTAAGTAAATCTTTACTATTTGATTGCTCTGAATTCTGTCTTGCAGAACTTCTTCCCTTTATTTTCTAGACAATAGGGCTATATAAATCTAAGTCATAGGATGCCTACAAGGTGTTATGGTCACATTTTTTGGTTGCCAGGAACAGATTCCTGGCAATTGGAATTAAAAAGCTCTTGATTTTTAATTCCCTGGGGTACAATCTTTTTAAAATACCTCTCTTTATTTCTATGTCTGCTGCATCCTTATGCTACTGATGGGCTAATTCTTTCTCTTGTACCTGTTAGTCAGAAATTAAGCAATCCTTAAAATCTATTTCATTAGTTTATATATATTATTTACACTTACTTTTATATTGGTCCATCTGTCATAGGAGGAAACTAATCTAGATTAGCTAACTTTGAGGTAGTTTAAAAGAAAGTCATAGGTACGGAATTTCAATTTGGATTCTGTTAAATTTCAACAAGGTACTTCTGGTCTGTATTTTATTTATTTTTTATCTCCATTTTCACTTAGTATGGACTTTAATACATAACCAGTGGGAATTAATATACTGTATGCTATTCTGGATCCAAAAATTTTTTTAGTTCTATTTAATTGTTCACATCACCAAGACTTTGCGTGTGGGCAACATTTAGACACATAAAAACAAATACTACCCTGTCTTTTCAGAAACATTTGTTTCATTTGTTTCATCTTAAAATGCTTTTCTCAGTTGGTATCCTGTACCTTCTAGGTCATCATTTTTGCCCCTCTTTACTTGCCTCTGTTTGATTCTTTTCATTTGGACCTTAGAAATTGAGCAGTCCTTAAACTGTTTTATAGCTTCATTTTATTGCCCTTGTGTGTCAATGTCTTGGCTTTAGATACACTTGTAGCTCTGAAGATGCATATTTTATTCAGCCCTTTAATTTCTCTTGAATTTCATTCTTATATGTCCAACTGCCCTATTTCCAGTGGGTAATAGACATTTCACAAACCAAAATACTTTGTTACAGTTTTCCTTAACTTTGTCATCTACTCATTTTTCAGGTTATGAAATGGCTAGTTACTGTACACCACTCAGGTTTTTTCCTCATTTTTTTCATAATACCATTATTCCTTATTACTGTCTTGATGTTATACAGATCATTGGTTTTTGTCTGTTAGTTTTCTGGGTGCTGGAAAGCATTGCTATGTTTTATCAGTTTCTTTTTATACTTACTGTGGTTTTTTTTTTTAATTTTTGTTTTGCTATATTACAATTTACAAGTTGTATCATTAATGTGGCTTGGATACTGTTATATGGTTATTTCTTCACCTAGCTATTTCTTTTTCATTATACAGTTGTTGTTTTCACCCAACTCTTTCTTTTTGCTTTGTATTCTCTCTAGTTTTTACAAAATTTGCATCTGCCTTATATATGCTTTACCTATCCTGAGTCCCTTTGTTATTGTATGTGTGCCTTTGAATAGTATTTATTTATTCACACAGTGGAAACCATTTGTATATGTAGTTGTATTTATGCTTGGTGTTAATATTATTACTTTAAATTTGTTTTGTAATGTTTTTAGCTTTATAGTTTATTCTTTCTGCTTTTTCCAAAAATAGGATTTTTCTTCTACACTTCTTTTTTTTCCTTCCTTCCTTCCTTTCTTTTTGTTTCTTTTCTTTTCTTTCTTTTTTTTTGTACTGGAGATCAAACTTATGACCTCACACTTGCCAGGCAGGTGCTTGTGCCACTGAGCTAAATCCCCAGGCCTTGATGGTTTTTTTCTCACAGTAATATAGAAAGTATGTAGTCTGTTTTTATTGTGGTGTTTTTGTTTATTGGCTATTCTTTGTTTTTGTGTTAAATTCTTTTTTTTTTTTTTTTTTTTTTTTTTTTTTTTGTATTTTTACTGGTACCAGGGATCAAACTCATGACTGCCTGCTTGCAAGGCAGGTGCTCATGCCGCTGAGCTAAATCCCCAGCCCCTTGTGTTAAATTCTTAATATACCTAAAAGATCATTTTTATTACTTAGTGCGAAGTAGATTGATCTCTCTCAGTTTTTCTGGTAAACAAAAGTTGCCTAGAAATGTGACTTTCATCCTGTTTTTAACCTCTTTTTCTTCCTTAATTTTTTTTATTAGTATACATTTTTGATATATAGTGAATATATTTATTGTGGCATATTTGTGTATATCTATACTGCATCTTGATTCTATATATGTCCCTTTTTCTTCTGTTTCTCCCCATCTTTAGATCCCCTTCCCATCTCTGTAAAGGCTTTATCATATTTTAAAATTATATATATGCACATATTTATACTAGAATACTTATACTCTGTGCTTATTGTTTTTCATATTCAAGTTTCATGTAACTTTGCTAGTTTTGAAATCTGTATTATTCCTCTTTTTGTCCATTATGTTCACTTTTTTAATTATTTGCTACAATTTCTTTATTTCAGGAACATTTTAGTGGATAAACCAAATGACCAGTCTTCAAGATGGTCTTCAGAGAGCAACTATCCACCCCAGGTAATACTATATGTATCTTCTGATGGTCTTTAGAATTCAGAATTAGGCACTTGTTAAATTGAATAGTGGAATCCATTAGTAGTTTATTCAGACTTTGGGATTATAAGGTAAATATTTTTCTCTCACTCTCTTTAAGTTTTGGAAGTATTTTTAGTTCATATAGGCAAATGCAATGTGGGATTTCATGAGAGAGACTTTTCCATCCATCCACTAAAAGACTTACATTCTATTTTTTTTTTTTTTCTGGATTAGTAATGATGTAAAACTTTTTATTTTTCTTTTGTGGGATGCAAGATTTCTGGGTACTACCACTGAACCATACCCTAAGCCTAGAACTAATTTTTTCGATCCCTCATGAGGACTGTTAACCAAGAAAAATTAGTTAAAACATAGGTGTTGATGTCTGACCTGAGAAAAAGTTATAACCTCTGTTCTAATATACTGAAGTCATTCTATAAATATTTAAGGAAATCTTAGTAATAATAATGCCTTTTGTGGAAGATTAACTTAAAATGGTTTTTTGTTTTATTAAAATAGTATACCTAGATGGTGTTATGACCATGAGCTAAATTTCTCTTTCTGTTAAGTGGTGTCTGAATTTAAAAACAATCATTCTTACACTTAATGTGTTTTCTACATTAATGCTTATGTAGTAGGGATAGTTAATAATGTCCATATCCTTGAGGAAATTAATGTATTATAGGTAGGCAAAATAAATGGATAAATAAAATCTTTTTATTTAGTATAATTAATGGCAACTTAGTTTCTATGCTTTTTATGTTGCATCCTGGGCTTGAAATACCTGGTATTTACATATTTTATCTTATATTGTGTTTCTAAGGGATATGTATTAATATTTTATATAAAGAATAATAAATTATTTAATTCTGAGTAGTTTTTAGAAGTGGAAAATAGCCAAAACCTTTTGAAGCCTCCTGTGAGACTCTGGTCATATCTGTCTTTTGCTTAATATACTGATGTTATATATTAATTGATTTTCCCTATTTTATTGTATTCCCCCATATAAATATGCAAAACAAGATTACCATGAGCTCTTCTTTTTGGCTTGCTCTCATCCTGAGAAGTGTACTTATCTTTGATCTTTGCTAATAAATCTATGCTTTTATGTCTTAAAAAATATGCTTATCTTTTTTACTGTTGAGATATTTGAATTTTTAATGGATTTTTGCTGATATGGGATAGGCTAGTATGAAAAAATTTTTTGGTATATACATATATAGAAATTCTTTTATATATAGGAGTAGAATTGCTGAATCATAGGATGTGTATGTATAGATTCAACTTTATTGCATAATGCAAAACTATGTTACAAAATAGCTATGTAATTTATACTCGTAACTGAGATTATCTGTAGGTTGTTGCATCACATTTTCATCACTTGTGCGTTTCACTATTAGATTTTTCTGGTCTGATAGATCTTACATTGTTCTGTTTTTGTTGTTAATTTTAGTTTAGTTTTAATTTACTTTTTTCTGTTTATATTTAGGCTTCTTACCATATGTTGATGGACTTACATTTTTTATCTATCTTGATTGACTATCATTTTAATTAGACTTCACATTTTCACATGTCTTTTTTCTAGTTTTGTTATTGATGAATATCTTTGCTTTCTATTATGGAACTATGAAATTACCCTCTGGACTATTTTGAAGGCAATAGAATTTAATAATTTGTTTTTGTTTTTTTCATTCATTCAAAAATCATTTAGTAAATACCCATTAAGTTACCAAACTAGATATTGGGAATATAGCTTGAATTAAATATTGTCTTCTTGATGAGCCAAGAAAAACTGAATTATTTAACATTTAATGTGTTAAGTCTTAGAAATAATCTAAAGTTTTTATGATTGAGGATTAATTTATTTTAGAAATGAATAACATGTAATCCATTTTTCTTCATTGTAATTAAGACCTAAATACAACATGTGGCAAATGTCAGAAGATGACATTCTTGCCAGAAAAAAGTATAATGGATAGCAGTTCTAATTTTTACTTAGTTTTATGAGAAACAATCATGTTGGGTAGAATGGATATAGTTTTGGTGTATAAATACATAGCAAGGAATCTTGTGTTCTTTGTGGTTGTCAACTGTGATGCTTATTTTCTAACTCCTCTAAAAACTCCTAAAAAAGCTCTATAAAAGAAATAATAGACATATAAAAAAGTTTATGAAAGTACAATGCTGAAGTGTTTCATTCTTAGGATAAGGATAAAACAGAAGAAATCCTTGCTTGTGAGGATAAAATCAGACAGTTATATTGATACTGAATAGAAGAAGGAAAATAAAACTTATTCCTGAAAGTTACAGCTATGTATTGTTCTTTGTTTGCATTTAGTATTCAAAATTCTTAATCCTTGGGTATGTATGAAACCTTACAATATCATTTTAAAGGGATGTGAATATTGTTGTTAAGGTTCTCAGTAGAAGTTGTCTATGAAGATGGTTACTTTCATCTCTAGCCCTCAAGTCTCCAGAAATCATTTTGAAGGGAAATGAGTACTATCCATTCAAAGATAATCAAACAACCAGGAAACAGGTCACTTTAGGAACTAGTAGAAATGTACAAAAATTGTAGATTTTACAGTTAAAAATATTAAAATATACTAGAATTAAAACAACTACTGATTGTATTTAGAAAGAAAAGATATAGAGAAAGAAAAGGACATTATAAAATGCAATATAATAGATTTTCAAAAGAAGCAAAGAAAACTTTGATAAATGAAAAATTAGTTTTTAAAAGCTATTAGTTTATGCTTACAATATATAATGAATATATTCCTTGTAGAGGATTGGTAGATAATATGAATACTGCATCTTGATCCTTGTTAATTCTCCTCATGCCTATTTGCCTCTGTCCTTGGATTCCTTTCCCATCTTCGCAAACTCTACCACCTGTTTTTGATCATCATTCTTTTCATTTTGCTGTTTAAATTACCTACATTATGAGTTTCTCATATAAGAGAAACCATGTGTTATTTAATGTGTGTCTGATTTATTTCACTTAGCATTATGGATGCATCCATTTTCCTACAAATGACTCAAATTTATCTTTCTTTATGACTGAATTATTTTATGCTGTTGATCGATGTATCTTTAGTTGTGCCAGCACTATGCTGCTTTTATCACTCACTTTGTATTGTATAACCTGCAGTTTAGGATTGTGATGCCTCTTCCTTTGCTCTTGTTTCTCAGGATTGCTTTGGCTATTCATAGCCTTTTCTGGTTCCATATAAATTTTAAGATCTTTTTTTTCATGAAGAACGTTGTGGATAGCGTTAGATCTATATGTAAAATTTAGTAATGTGGCCATTTTGACAATATTGATTCTGCCTATCCAGGAACTGGGGATGTCTTTCCATTTATGATGTCCTATTCAGTCTCTTTTTTCAGAGTTCTATAGTTTTTGTTCCAGAGATCTTTCACTGCCTTGGTTAGATTAATTAGTAGGTACTGATTTTTTTTAAACGCTGTTGTGAATGGAATTATTTTCCTGATTTCTTCCTTGACAGATTCATTGTTAGTGTACAGAAATGCTATTGATTTTTGTGTATTGATCTTGTATTCAAAATACTGCACTGAATTTATTAGTTCTAAAAGTCTTTGATAAAATTTTTGGGTCTTCTGTGACAAGCATCATTTCATCTGTAAAATAAGGAAAGTTTGACTTCTTTCTTCTCTGTGCATCCCTTTTTATTTCTTTTGCCTGATTGCTGTGACTAAAGTTTTTAGTGATGTATTGAACAGAGGTTGTGAGAGTAGACACCCATGTCTTTTTCCTGATTTAAGAGCAAATATTCTCAATTTTTCCCCATTTAGTATGATACTGGGAGTGGGTTTGTTATAAATAAATGGCTTGTATCAGTTTGAAATACTATCATTCTGTACCTGTTTTTTTCATTGTGCAATATTGGCACATATATCAATATGATTTTACTTTTGCCAAAAACTTTTTCTGCATCTTTTGAAATAGCCCTGTGATTTTTGTTTCTATTTATGTGATGTATTATGTTTATTGATTTATGTATATTGAACCATCCTTATGTCCCAAGAACAAAAATCATTATGTATGTTCTTATTTAATGATTTGTTGCATTCTTTTTGTCTGTATTGTGTTAAGAATTTTTGTACCTATGTTAATTCAGATTGCTTATAGGCTTTCTCCCCTCCCCTCCCCCCTCCCCTCCCTTCTCCCCTCCCCTCCCCTCCCCTCCCCTCCCCTCCCCTCCCCTCCCGCCTCCCCTCGGTCTTTCTTAAGTCTGTTACCAGAGTAAGCTTTGAAAAGTGAATTTGGAAGTGCTCCTTCCCTTGTTGTGATTAGATCATTCTTGAAGTTCTGGTATAATTCTCCTGTGAATCCCTCACATCCTTGCTTAGTTGGTTGGATTTTTATTACTGTTTTCACTTAATTATCTCTTATGGACTATTCACTTTTTTTAAAATCTTTGTTCAATTTTGGTAATTTATTTGTATCTGGAATTTCTTCAAGGTTCTCTAGTTTACTGCAGTTTGGTTTTTTAAATCCTGTGGATATCATTCATATCTTGTGATATCATCTGTTTCATTTCTAGTTATCTTGATATGAGTGTTTTCTTTTTTTAGTAAGTTTACCTAAGGGTTTATTAATTTTGTTTTTCCTTTGAGAGAATCAACTCTTTGATTCACAGATACTTTGTTACCGTTTTTGTCTCAATTTTATTTCCATTAAGATGTTTATAATTTCATTCATTCTACTAGTTTTGGGTTTTGGATTGTTGTTCTTCTAGGACCTTGAGATGCATCGTTAGGTTATTTATGATGACTTACATTCTTTTAATGTGTACATTCACAGCTGTAAATTTCTTTTAGGAATACTTTCCTTGTGTTCCATAGGTTTTGGTAATATTACGCTTCCACTCATTGGATTCTAGAAATTTAAAATTTTTTCCCCCAGATTTCATCAGTGTCTTATTTAGGTTCCATGTGTTTAAGTAGTTTCTATG